CGCCCCGCCCTCCCCCCCCGCCTGCCGCCCCGGTGAGGCCCGGCGCGGGGGCCCCAGCGCCGCAGCCCCGCGCCCGAGACGGCGCCTCCAGGGACGTTAGCGTGGGTAGTAGTCGCGGCCGAACGCTCCGTGTTCGGGCCAGCCCTCTGCATTCACCGTCGCTAATCCTTCCTCCAGCCGCGCATGTTCAGCCCCATTTCCCGGATAGGGAAACTGAGGACTGGAGGTTGTGATTCACCCAAAGGCGTTTCCTGGCCAACTCGGATTGAAAGTTACCCTCTGGGGCCGCCCCTGACCACCACGTAAATAATTAACTGGAGCTTTTTCCAAACCAGCTGGAACTCACTTAAATGCCCACAGGTACAGGTGCACAAGAAGGCATTCTGTGAATAGCGAGGATTTGCGAATTGAGGAACAGAACACTTTCAAAGGAAACTACCGGCTAGAGCCAGTTGCTACCTTGTTCCACTGCAAGCCCAGTGCCACGTATAAATTTTAAAGAGAAGCTGGAAATCTAGATTTTTTTAATGTAATAATTTAAATATGTAAACATTTAAAAATAATTACTTAAGGGCCGACCCCGCGGCACACTCGGGAGAGTGCGGCGCAGGGAGCGCAGCGATGCTCCCGCACAGGTTCGGATCCTATATAGGAATGGCCGATGGGCTCACTGGCTGAGCGGTGCGGGCAACACCACACCAAGGGTTGCGATCCCCTTACCAGTCACGAAAAAGACAAAAATAAATAATAAATAAAAATAATTACTTAAGAATTTTTTTTTTAACTGTTCAAGCCAAACAAAACTTTTATGTAGGCTAAATTTAGCCCATGGGCCTCCTATTTGCAACCACTATTTTAAAGAGGATTTCTTAGGGAATAAGAGTCTCTTGGGCAAGGTATAAAAATGAGTACCTCCAACAAGGTAATATTCCTTAACCTTTCCCTCTGTGTGCACACATAATTTAAGCCTGTCTGTCCTCATCGTTTTGCCAGTGAATAATAAAGTTGATTATCTTTTTTGCAGTGTTTAAAAAAGGGAAATCGTTACATTCAGAGAAACGGAAGTAAACTTTTCAGGCAGTTTTCCTTGACTCCAAGGTCCATGGCATTGGATATGTGTCCAAGTTGAAGAGGTTTCTTGGTTTGCTAAGCATCACTCGTGCCTCACACAATCAGAAGGAACCTAAGGGATGGCCATGCAGTATGCAGGAGGTTCTCAGGGCCCGACTAGGTTTCTCCAGGTCCTCTAACTCGAAGGCTTCTTGCTACATCTCAGTAACAACATTCTTATGATGGGCTTCATTTTGTTCTTTATGGCAGATAGGACTATTCTCAGTCCTTTCCCAGAAAGGCTCTGTTTGAATGAGAGCAGGGGCCTGTGGAATGAAATGGAAAGAGAGCAGAAGGCCATGCTCTGGACAGAATGTAGGAGGGCAAGGGCCGGCCCGGTGGCGCACTGCTACAGTGCGCCGCTTGGGAGCGCGGTGGCGCTCCCGCCGAGGGTTGGGATCCCACATACCGACCAGTTCCCTCTCAGTGGCTGAGTGAGG